TAGAGGATTACTGGTATTTGGTGGGGAATATGTTATTTTGGTTTTTCATGTTATTATTTTTTCTCTGTGATTTGACATGTGAATTTCTTTTGTAGTTTCTGACTCTTGTGTGATACTCGGGCCTTCAAGTTTAGTTCTGCTTTTTTTTTTTTTGAACTTTATATGTCTTTGTGTTTTACTTTTTGGGTATGAAGAGCTGGCTCATCTAAGCTTCTGGTTCTCTCTTTTGATTTTATATTTTCATGGCCGGATTGATTTTGTCTTCAGGAGTTCTGCGGTGGCCAAATTCCAATGTGGGTCAGAAGTTTTCAGACTTTCTCCTTAGGTCTGGAATTTTCTAAGAATGATTTTGGCCTCAGGAACTTGGGTGTTGGACTGACCTGAGAGTTGTACTGGATGCAAAGGATCAGTGAGAGGAAAGGCAAGCCTCGGAGCCCAGATAGAGGCTGTCAGCCCCAGAAAGAGGCTGGCTGGTGTTGCAGGACCAGGGAAGTAGAGGGAGTTGAGGGCAGGGTCAGGTCCAGAAGCAGTGCTCCTGGGGCCCAATGAAGGCACTAAGTTGGTCTGGGTGAAAAGGATCAGGAAGCAGTATTGGTTCCCCAGTTGTCTGGGGCCCCAGACTAGGAATGGCACAGGGCCCAAACTACGAGTAAAGAACAGCGGGGTAGGGGGGCAGATGGAAGGGTGAATGAGGCTGGGGGAGTCAAGGCATAGAGGGCTGCCCGATAGACCTAGCCCAAGAGGCCTGAGGATAGGAGAGCAGGTTAGGAGAGTTAGCCGGTGGTGCAGGTCCAGGGAAGCAGAGAGAGGTGAGGGTGGGGCCAGGTCCAGACGCAGTGCTCCTGGAGCCCAAGGAAGGCACCAAGCTGGCCTGGGCAAAAAGGATCAGGAAGCAGCACTGGTTCCCCAGGTGTCTGGGGACCCAAGACCAGGAATGGTGCAGGGCCCAAACCAGGAGCAGAGAACAGCGAGGGAGATGGAAGGGCGAATGAGGCTGGGGGAGTCAAGGGCGGAGGGTTCCGCGATAGACCCACCCCAAGAGAGGCCTGAGGGTAGGAGAGCAGGCCAGGAAAGCCAGCTGGTGGTGCAGGTCCAGGGAAGCAGAGAGAGGTGAGGGTGGGGCCAGGTCCAGAAGCAGTGCTCCTGGGGCCCAAGGAAGGCACCAAGCTGGTCTGGGAGAAAATGATCAGGAAGCAGTACCGGTTCCCCAGGTGTCTGGGGCCCCAAGACTAGGGATGGCATGTGCCTTTTTTTTTAAAGCTCACTTAGTACTGCTAGTATGTGCATGCGTATAGGACTATCTACTGGAGTATGTACAGTCACTCAGAGGATGTATTCCTAAAGAAAATTCTCTCTTCTTCTCCCAGAATCCATCAATTGTCAGTAGCTCTTCAGCTATCAATAGAACTTCCTGAGCCTCTCCCTTATCCACGCTAAGAGTTTTGCTGGTTTAATCTTGTGCAGGTCTTGTACATGCAGTCATAGCTGCTATTAGTTCATGTATGCATGCAATGGCTCTCTTGTGTCTGGAAAATGCTGCTTCACAGAAGTCAGCCAATGCCTCCAGTTCTTATCATCTTTCTACCTCCTCTTCCATCACCCCTGAGCCTTGTGAGGAGAAAACATGATATAGATATTCCACTTAGGGCTAAGTATGCCAACAGTCTCTTATTCTCTGCACACAGACCAGTTGTCAGTTTCTGTGTTAATTATCATCTACTACAAAAAGACTCTTCTCTGATGAGGGTTGAGAGATGTACTAATCTATGGGCATAAAGATAAGTACTTAGGAGGCAATTTAATACCATGTCCATTTAGCACAATAATAGTAGCAGATTCTCCCTAAGGGTCAATAACCTACTCAGTCATGGTTCTTGGCCTAGTTAACAGTATGAGACATGACTTTTGTCATGAGGAGTAGGCCTTAAATCAAATCAGAAAGTGATTACTCCCATAATATTTGTGCCACCATTGCACTGGTGTTCATACCATGTCAGTTGTTATTGTAACTCATAGAGTTCACAGCTGGGTAGGACTGCTGATTATTTCTCTCCTCCAGTATCAGGCATAGCTAGCAAATCAAAATTTTGATACGAAATTTATAAAATGTAATATTTTGAACCAGACATGTCCACCCATACATCCTGCCATTATTTCCTAAATAACAAACTTACTACACTGATAAAATTTTAAAATAAATGCTAACATAATCAACCAAATTTGAGTATGTCATGACTAGTTTTCACATATTAAAAAAATCAATCAGGAAGCATGGAATGGCTGTTTACCTGTTCCAGTAACTTCTGTCCATTGAGATGAGCTTGGAGCACAGCATCATTAACCAGCAAGTGGAAGTTCAGGAGCACGTGTTCAACATCATAGGTTCTATGCATTGCATCTGACAACTCTTCCAAGGACCGAATATATGCATGCCAGTGTGGATTGAGCTCTGTCATGTGGGCCAGGCAGCCCCTGACAACATTAAGGCAGTACCCCATGCAGGGCTTACTGAGAGTCAGGCCCTGGCAGTGAGGACAGTACTGCATCTTCAAGAGGGCTCTGCTGCACTCTTTGGAGAAGTGCAAATGGTCTGTGGTGTTGATGACTTCAATGCCCAGATTGAGTGCTTGAAGAAATGTGCGGCTGGGCAGCAGTGACCTCCCCATCTGGCCCATTACTCTTTTAGGAATATTGCCAAATGGACTAACATCCTGACGAGCCATGCGGATACATTCTGAGTATTGCAGGGAACTATCAGTCACACCAGGGTTAATGAGATGGTGGTAGACCAGAGGAAAAAGACTGTCAAAAAATCTGTTTACAAATTCTTCAGGATTGACATCTGCACCAAATAAATAGAGTCCTACGTCAGTGAAAAACTCCTGAATGGAAGCAGCAGCCTCCAAGGCCATGTTCCTGTAGGTGTTGCAGAAAAGGATACTGGTGTAATTTTCTGCTTGTCTGATGAGGGTTTCCAGGGTCTCTGTAACACAGCAAAGGTAAAGGAAGAAAAGGTTTAGTATACATGTTAAACCATCTGTCCATCTGCCACAGACAGCAAATGAATTTAATTCATAATAACTAACCCACAAATGAATTGTGATGTTCACACTACTAAACTGAGATTCCAAGGATAATGTCTGAATAATAATGCCATTACACACAACATCCAACTTGTATAGAAGCACTTTTTCTAGTATTTTAGCCTGATAAAGCATACAAAAACCACAAACAAGTTACATGGAAAGAGTATTTGACTAATTTTACAATGTTGTCATTCATAACTCACTAATGATGAGTTTGCTTCATATCCTGGGGTCATTTTTTTATAAACATGGGAACATTAATATTTGATTTCCTGGTCATTATATTTTCA